GCTCAGCGAGAAAATGAAGTGTAAAGTGAAACATTTCATTGAATCGACGATGAAGAACAAGCAAAGAAATGTTTTCTAGATGACCGAAAAGGGACTACATATTTTTATGTTGAAACATCTAGTAAAATTTCGATATGTGAACAACGAAGGTTCGGAATAACAATACTTCTTCAGCCAACTTTTCATATTCTTATCTGATTTGAAGTTCGTCCTTCGATAAATGGAAAAGTTCCTGATAAGATTTTATTTAAAAATTGATCTCGTCTCTTGAATATCTGAACTGAAAAAGCAAGAAAAACTTTGATGATATGTTGGATAAAAAATTTTACAATGGCATAACTTTAAGCCTTTTTTTTAGACAATAACAAGACATTTGGAGTTCTTTTCTCAAAGAATACTGAGATTTTCCTTGAGATAATTGCTGAGTACTTTCTTGCACTGAAGCTGTTATACTAAATTCGACATACAAATGATATCGAAGAAAAACGAAAGATTCTCACAGGTACTTTATACTAACCTTTCAAATGAAGGTGTTTATTTCAGCATGATTTCTATTGTAAAAGCTTACAACAAAATATTCCTTCCTGCTTTGGATATTTATTGGAGGCAAGAATGAATTTTAAAAATACGATTTATTAGAATTACAATTTCATGTTTTTTTTTTTAAAAATGTATTCATAAGTTGTTTCTAATTCAAACTTTCTGTAATATAAGCAGATGTTTGAAACAATTCCAAACTGAAATCGATACAAAAATGTTATTTGGCTCATTTTTTCTTTTATTTTAGCTAAAAGCTATTCAAATCAAGACTTAACTTTATAGCATGAAGTTAGTTCTAAAGAATTCCTCATCTAATTACATATTTAGGGGTGTGAGCGTGAGGGTGTTCTGAATACAACAATCATGCAAACACTCACAGTCGCACCCCACCCCAAAATGGATTTTAGATAGAGAACTGCGGGACAGTCCCGAATCCCGAAAAATCCCGTTTGTCCAGTCCCGCGGGACATTCGGGATTGTCCCGAAAATTTTTCGGGACGGGACAAACGGGATCGGGACTATTTAAAAAATTTCGGGACGGGACATTCGGGATCGGGACTATTCAGAAAAAATCGATGTCCCGAATTTCCTAAATTCACATATCAAAACGCACCGTAAATTTGAAGCTTTTTATTTCTAACAAATATTTTAATATTTAAATAAATAACATAATAGAAAAACGAAGGAAAAACTATCTCTAGATGCTTTCAAAGTTGATCATTTCCATTTATTTTTATCAGATCTTTCACTGCTACTATAACTTAATCGCATCATCTCTTTTAATTAACATATTCTGTGCATCAATTAGTGTGCACATGGAGATGAGAGTGTGCTTAAACCCCAGTTATATCTCAAAAAATAACTTCTCTTTTTCTTACACTTCGGCTGCAAGCAACTAAATTTTCATCAATGTTTCAATATTTCATTTGGTAAGCAGCAAATTAATAATTTGACCTAGACTAGCAGGTATTCCTTGATCGATATTGTGCTGCCAACTGTATAAATAAAAAGCTAACTAGTTCGTCTAGTAATTATCTATATGAATCCATGTTACCTATTGATAGTATAGAAAAGACGTAGTCATCTTTCACAAAACAATATTTCTATATTCCTGTCAGTTAACGGGACAAACGGGATTTTACGGAACAATTCGAAAAAATTCGGGACGGGACATTCGGGATCGGGACAAATCGAAAAAAAACTCGGGATGGGACAATAAAAAAGTTTGTCCCGCAGATCTCAAATTTTAGAAGTCACTAGTACAAAGCAATAGATGTTAAGTGCTACACAAAATGTCCTTAAAGTAAGGAAAATACATACACAAATACTCTATTAACTTCTGACAGTGTATTATTTATTCAGTTTTCAATCAATTTTATTCTTCGTAAAATTATATATTTTTTATAGACAGTATTAGAATTTTAACAGTAACAAAAGAATAACTTTAAATAGAATAATGATGTATTTATCATTGTTTAGGACAATTTAAAATTTCCTTGTAACATACGTTTCTGATTTGATCAATCAATTTTGTGCTAAAAAAATATCTCACAATGTGCTGATGTTAACACAATTAACATTTTGTCCTTAGAAAGTATTGAAGAATGTGTTTGTCTTTCTAAGGACAATTGTACCATGATCACATAGTTTCATAGTATTGCAATATTAATTCTCATGATTTTTTTTTGCATTCTATCTATGTTTGAACACGTGTTCTCATACAATGAAACGCAGAAAAAAACATCAATGCATCGTTACTTTGTAAAGTAAAAACAGTGCCTTTTTTCTTGATGGCATCAAAATTAGTACTACTTGATTTACCAAATGAGCTTTTTCCATATATTTTTCAATATTTGAGCTCAATCGATATCATAAAAGCATTTGCCGATCTAAAATCTCATCGTCTTCAAGCACTCATTCAATCTTTTATTTCACGATTGGATGTCTCTAAAGAATCTGATGAATGGATTCAAACTTATCTACCAGATTTATTAAACAAACACAAAATTATTGAACTTTGTCTACAAATGAACTATCTCACCTTTATATCTAAATATTTATGATCAAATAACATTCAACCCTAGTGAATGTACTGAGCTAAGGGTACCTGAAAAAGTACCCTGCTACTAGTATGTCACAGGAACTTTCGGGTACTGAAGTACCTTAAAGTACTTTTAGGTACCTATAAGGTACTCGACCAAGTACCCTGCTGGAAAGCATCCAGTAAATGGGTACTTGGAGGTGCTGATCAAGTACCCAACCGGGTACTATTGTTCAGTAATTTTGGGTACCCTGTTGCCAAACTTGCAGTATGTTGATGATCGAAACTAACCTCTGGCTTTTTTTCATTTTTGTTTTTCTCAAAGCAATTTATGATATTTTTTCGATTTTATTTCATTTTATTTTTCCAATTCTGAAATGTCAAGCAGGTCAAATTTCGAGATCTGACCGGACGCGAATTGGTCGAATCTCCATTAGACCACTTCAAGGTAGTCCTCTCTCAATCTACGATTGAGATTAGCATGTCCTCGACTAGTAAATAGTCAAGAAAAATAATCTAGAAAAAATTAGTATGAAAAAATATTTTTTTCTTATGCTTCCTCAAGTTGCTTATATGAAGCCGTATATGCAAAAGAAAACGGTGAATGAACAGTTGCTACACAGAACGCAACAAATCTAGGATACCCTGTAGAGCTTTTCCTAGTAAAATTACAGGTGCGGGTACTCATGCAAGTACTTGTTCAGTAAACATACTGCGATGGGTACCCAATGCAGCACCTACGTCAGTATAATTACTGAAAATTTTCGAAGTACCCATATCGGGTACCCTGCTGAGGCTTTCTCAGTACATGGGTACCCTGAACTCAGTACTTTCTCTAGGGAATCTATACAAGTGATTAATTTGAATTATGATATTGATAAAGAAAAAGAAGTATTAAGCCAACTTAGTAAACATTTAACAAAGTTTTCTATGACATCTCCTTTTATGGATGAAGATGGAGATCTAGCAACTTATTTATTTCAATCTGATTCTCAACTTGAACATGTTACTATCAATGATTGTACTCTTTTTATTATTAATGATGATGATATTGGTATTTGTACTCGATTAACACATCTTTCAGTTGTACTTGAAGGAATGCATCCAGTATTTATACTCATTAAACATTTGCCTAACATTCACGAATTGAAGGTTAATCAAATTTACTTACTTCTAATTCCTATTTTTCTTTCTTTATCTACAGGTAAAAATTCGAAGTCAACAATGTATTGGTCAAGAACTACCTAATACTAAAGGAATAAAATCATGTAATACACTTCATTCAGTTACTTTTACAGGCTGGATTAAATATTTTGATCACATGGAAATGTTCTTTGCTACTTTTGGATCGACAATTGAAAGTCTCTTTTTAAACATTGATTTAATGTTTCGTGGAGTGGACGGTAAACGACTTGAACAGAGCCTATTAGACAAAATGCCTCGTCTATCATCACTTGATCTAATTATTCATTCAACTGTAGCAGATTCTGATCCATTAGAAATCGAAACTTTTCAAAGTTTTACTTGGAAACAATTCAATCCTATAGTATACTGGAATGATAGTTATGCTCATCAGCATACAATTTTTACTTTACCATATAAATCTGATCGAGTAAGAGATTAATTTGTTTGCTAATCATTACTTTTTTTTGTCTTGTTTTCAGTTTAAACATCTTTCAAATGAATTTATTTCATCATGTATTTCAAATCGACCAGTTTCTCTTTGTTTTGAACGTGTTCATTCTCTTTCACTCATTACTACAACACCATTAACTTTGAAAACATTTCAATTTATTGAAAAAGTTTTTCCAAATGTTAAAACGCTTGAATTGACAGATTGTATTAAGCATCCATTAGACGAAAGTGAAGAAGATAGAAGTGTTATTGCCGTGAATGAAGATATTCTTTTCGATACTACTTTACAAATACCATCTGTTACTGAATTCTGTTTCTTCATATGGACAAAATATGACAATTACAAGACATTTCGTCGTCTTCTTGCTCTTTTTCCAAATTTAGTTTATCTAGAACTTGGTATGGAGCAATCAATTCTGAATGATCTATTAAAACATGCACAGAAAGATGATTTACTCAAAAATGTATTTGCTGGTATCGAACAACTAAAGATAGCGAATTTTTACTATGAAGAGAAGATGATGATAGACACAGAATTTCATCATCTTTTCCCAAAAGTTAAAAATCTCATCACCGAAGACAATGATGACATTGAGTGAATTGTATTTCTATTCAATTAAATATAACTAAAATGACTCATGACGGTGATACAACTAGGGTGTGGATGTGGGTGTGGCTGGGTGTGGGGTGTGGGTGTGGGTATGGATGTAGGTGTGGGTGAGTGTGGGTGGGTGTGGGTGTCTAGGTGTCTGGGTGTGGGTGTGAGAGAAGAGGAGAACAACACCCATACCCACACCCACACCCACCCACACCCACACCCCACACCCACACCCACACCCACACAACCACACCCACACCCACACACCCACACCCACACCCACACCCACACACCCACACCCACACCCACACACCCACACCCACCCACACCCACACCCACCCACACCCACACCCACACCCTTTATCTCGGATGTCCATTCAGTGTGACTCGTAATACCAAAATTATCTCTAATAGGTACCACTGCTTGTGATAAGTCAACTAAACATAAATTTAAAATGTGTCCATTACAATGGACATATAAGGCAGTAGGTACAATTTGTAATAAACGAGTTGATACACCTTTATATATGCCACGCATTGCACTTGCCCTGTCAAAACATTGACCGACTATATTATTAATATCCAAATCGAGTTGTT